GTTGGTGGGGGAAGTGCTCTTGAGGAAATTCACATCGGCCCCTGGTGTTGTATGGACGCGCGCCCGTGCAAGCGTGGAAGGGTCTGTACACGCGGCGGGGACGGTGGGCATCGCAAAAGCTGAAGGGCGTGCGCGTGCAGGAGGTTTGGTGAGTTGCTGTCACACGTGTCGCTGTCGACAACGACGACAGGCGAAGAATCGTGCTCGGGGCCCGTCCAGCTGCTCCATGTTTCTGGTGGGCCTGCGCCTACTCCAGCATAAAGCTGTCCTTGTGGCATATCCAGCACTGGAGGTCGGTGCACACGGTGACCAGCGACGAAATCCGTGCGGGACGCCACCTGCCTTCTGTCCTCGGGGCACCGCGCAACCATCGCATGGTCGCCCCTGTCTTCGCGCTCCACGAGTGGGACTTCTGCACTGTCGTCGTCGATCATGCCCAACGATCGTCTGGCAATCACAAGGACGTCCACGGGGAGCAGACTGTCCTTATGGTCGCGGACAACTCTACGTCATTCGGAGGTGCGGCGTCATTCACCACCGAAGATCTTGTTCTCGCCGCGGAGCCCTCTCGCCAACCACTACGACACTAGTGCACGGGAATCATGTCTACGCGAGGCGCCGGCCGTGGCAAGAAGCGGGAGAACGTCCCTGCTGACACCCAGGGGCGGGCAGGGGGTCGGCGGCATGTCCCCAAGTCGAAGAGGCTCCGTTCAGAAGAGCCATCACCAAGCGTGCCTGTCCTGCGAGGGCGGTATTGGGCGGCATCGAACGAAGACGAAGATGACAACGTGTTCACGATAGAGGAGGAAGCAGCAGATGACACCGTGGCGGCACCTCGGGGCAGTAGTCTTCAAGCGAAGAATGATCAGGCCGCCACGAGGAGATTGCTCACGCCCCCCCCCGAGGGGCAACGAGGTCGAGGGCAGAGCAACACAAAAGCAAAAGGAAGTTGTCGTCGACGTAGGCGACAAGGACAATGAGCCATTGGAAAGCCGCAGGCAGCGAAATGCAATGCAAGGTGCCACAACGACAGGAGTAAGGATACGCGCCGTGCATGAAGAAAGGGCACCTCAGGGCGCCATGCCATCCACGCCGTCACAGCCACGACCACGCAACACGGCTGCAGATGGAGGGTCTACTCAACGCGGGGGAGGTGAGGTGGCCCAGCAAGAAGCGCGCGTGGCGAGCGCTAGTGCAGGCGCGGGGTCCTCGGGCAATGTCGCTGTCGTGGCGGGGGCGAGAGAGGAGGTTCCTATTGTGGAGCGGGAGGTTGCGCGTGGCGAGAATAAGGGCGAAAAAGAGGACGACGACCCTCTTTTAAGCCGGGAGCAGAGGGGAGGGTTGGCGAGACATCTTGCCGACCGTGCCCGCCTGTGGGTCGACGACAAAGCATTCTGGACAATGGGGGAGGGGCGCCGGCTCTACGACATCGTCCACCGAACGCGGAAGCACTTCGAGGCCATTGCCAGCGGGGTGCAAGCGCCCGTCGTGTCCAGGAGCGTCGTCATGCCGAAATCCGCGACGACCCTCACAGGGATTGCTGATCCCGCTCAACTACAGCAAGCGATCATCCGCAGGGTGGCTGCAGAGAACATAGTTCTGCGCGTCTTGCATGGGTGGGTGTTCAAGTCAGGAAACCGCCCCCGCGGATACAATCTCGCTTTCCAGTACGCGTTGGAGTCGGTGGCGACGGACCTTGCGCGCGTTATGTGGTACGGCGAGGAGTGGAGCAACGTGGTGAGCGTGCCCGTTTGCACGCACACGATCGACCTCAATATGGACTTGCCACTGTGGTTTGCGGGGGTGAACATCGACGACAGGCCAGAGGAGGACGACATGGCTGCGTACCAGGAGTTGTCCGTCATGTGCGTCGTGCATGCATTTCGCGCCGCCGTGCAAATGGGTGGCAACGTCGACAGTGGGTTCATATTGCACGATCGTCTGTCGAGGATCGCAGATTGCTTCAGGATGTTGTTGGCTGCCTGCATGTGGTTGATGCGCATGGCGGGAGACGATCATCGTAGCCACTACGAAGCCTTCTACTTTGCGCAACTGGTCGCAAAGCCCACGCTGATCGCGTCCATGCATCGCGCCTTCGATCATCGAAGGTCCGTCATCCGAGCGACGAACGTCGTCACGGAGAGACTGGGGAATGTGAACGCCACCTTAGGAGAGTACCCGAAGTACATCCCCGATTGGGCTTCCTGCGGCATCACGTTTGGCCACGACGCGAGCATCACGGGGCCAAAGGACGCGAAGAAGAGGGATTGGTTGGGTTCGGGCCCCTTGAAGGAGGACGCTGACGACAATGGCGAAAACGACGCGTAGGGGGTGGAGGGGTGGTGTTGTGCTAAATTGCCTTGGTTTACTTGTTGCTTGTGATGGCACGTGGACGGCAGGAAAGGTGGCGGTGCGTCGCGACATAGATTGTTGTTGGTCTCTCCCTTCGTTCCGCATGAGCACAGCGTGTCTGTCGTGCGTGTGGACGCCCTCCGTTTTTGGTTGTCCACTCTGGCAGGGTGGTAGATGCAACTTCGCTCGTCGGTGTCCTTGCATGTTCATTTACTTTGGCAGTTTGCATTGTTCATGCGACGGTGCGAGGCGTTGTCTGCAGTAGATTGTAGGAACGGATTAAAGTTAGGTTTCCTTGATGTTGTTTAACGTTTCCTTGTCGGCGCAGCATGCGTCATGTAGATTCATAACGCGCTGAAAGCGCACCTTTTTTTCTTCATGTCTTCGATTCGGGACAGATGTTTCTTATGTTTGCAGTGTGTGATTGCTCTCTTTCCTTACCTGACGGTCCATGCACTGCTCGATGCACATTCACACATCTCATCTTCATTTGCACGTGTCATTTTCGATCGTCGCTTCGGAGACCTTTTTATTTATTTTTTCCTTTTCTTTTTTTTGTTTTTTTTTTGTGTGTTCGCATTCCAGAATCATCCCAGTGGCATACAGTGCATGTGTTCGTGTTGCTTTCATCAGTCGAGGGAATACTTGGCCGCAGAACATCAAACGAATCACAAATGCCAACGCACGACATTGACGCAATGAAACAGGCGCACACCGAATGCGAACACACAATGGAAATGGGCGAAAACGACTGTCAAAAGTACTTCCAACGTCGCAGAAGAAATCACAGCACTACAAAACTGTTTTTCAAAACCGAGATGGGAGGAAAGTTTAATGCCCGCCCAAATGAACACCATACCTCTAACCTCTAAATGCGCTAACTCTTCTCGAAAAAGGCGCACCTCACACCCGCAATAAGCATGTTTCGCACTACTCCTGATGAACGGCATCCAAAAAAAAAATATTGGACAAAAAAAAAAAAGAAGGAACGCGTCGCACATCCGTGGATTGTGAAGGCCAACCGAACACAATCGTCGACGCAAGCTGCCGACCACGACGCCTAACAGGGCTAGCAACCAAGCCGACGGCCAACGAGACCCCGATTCTGCCCCTCCGGCCATTGCACCAAGATCGCACTTCCACGAAGAGCAGGCTGCTCACTTCGTGATACGTGTCACTGAAGCAACTATAGATCGGAATCGATGGTTCTGGTCTAATATACGTGACGATGTGAGATACGTAGTCACCAACTGTCTGGCATGTGCCGCTGATCGTGCCCCAATACGGGGAGCAAACACAATAGTACCAACGAAAGTAGAGCGCCCTTTCCAGCCGAGTTAGTATGGACACGACAGATATCGACGTGCCACCTGGCCCAAACCGTTGGGAATATTCCATCCTTTTAGTTTTAATAAACCATTTTTTCAAATACATCGAGGTCTACCCCTGCAAGACCCGTAAGGCCGCAGAGATAGCCATGTACATCGATCGGTTCCTCTATACCCATCTAGATACGGAAGAGATTCTAACCGACAACGGGTCCGAATTCAAAGGCGAGGTAGAGGAATTGCTCGCGCGCCGAGGCATTACACTTCGACGCACGGCACCCAACGTTTCCCAGTCGAATGGATCGGACGAAAATGTCGATCGCATGATAAAAACTGCCCTTCGTAGAAATCTAGCGGCGCATGACACGCGTCCGTGGCCCGAGATCGTATACCAAATCGTCGGAATTCACCAGGCCACCTCTCATAAATCCACGGGGTTCACCCCCTTTCAGCTTCGCACCAATAGCCTCCCATGTGTCGATTACCGGGGCAACTCGGAAATTGCCGAAGAAGGGGGTAGAGACACGCGTGCTGCCCTTAAGGCCAAGGCCAAAAGGTACGCCGATTTGATGGAAAGGGCCGTCCCGAAGCTAGTCCGAAATAGATAGGAAATGACTGATCTAGCCCATGGAAGGCAAGTCCGTAGCTACGAGGCCCGAAATGCTAACGCCGGTCCCCAACGTCAATATAAATTAGGGGACCTGGTGCAGGTATGTAAATGTGCACACGACCGAAAACTCGCTCCCAAGTTCTCTGGCTATTTCCGCATTGTCGAGCTCGGACCCAACAATGCCAATACGGTGCGCATTGCGCCCGAGGCCAGCGCCAACCATAGCTCTGTCCCCATCGTCCGCCATACCTCTTATATCCGTCCCCTCCCTCCTTCTAATCTCCCTCCGTCTCCCTCATCTGCTGAAAACGAGGATGACGACAATCTAACTCCCGCCTCGCTCTCTCCCTCTTGTTCCCATCTCCCCTCTTCTTCCCCGTCCTCGCCATGAGTTTCATCACGGAGCAAGCTCTTGGCAATCATTTGCTGCAGCCACATGGCTACATCTCGGAGATCCGACAAGTTCGTCATCCGCGGCTCAGTCCTGATCTTCGACGACTGGCGCAGTTCTTCTGCACCGAGGGTGTGTGTGTCGTCGCTGCGTTCCGATTCGTTGGAAGTCCGCAGGCAGTAGTATTGGCAGAGGTGGTGGCATTTCATCGGCGGGCGGCTCCAGGAACGAGCCACGTCACCACGATCGCTGCCTTCAGCGGCGATATCAGCGCAGTAAGCCCACTTCGGCATACCGCGATCCTGACCTCCTTACGAGAATGGTCGCAACAGTTATCGGTTGAGTGGCATCATCGTTTTGCACGCCCCGGGTACAACCTAGTCCCGACGGACGGGACTGACTTCGACGAGATCCGCACTTCTACGAGCTAGCCGGCAGCAGTGCTCCCCACACTCGTCCCCTTACAACGCCCCCAATGAATCGCGCCGCTCCTCTCGCCCCTCTCTCCACCTTCGGCCTTCCCTCTCTCTTCCCCACCTTCTGGCAATCCGATCTTCATCCTCGTCTTCCCCACCTTCTGGCAATCTGAACTTCATCCTCGTCTTTCTTTATTGCTCGAGCCCCTTGCAGTCCCGCTCCTCGATCCCAGGCATTGGCGGGCGTGGCATGAGACTTTTGTTGATCTGTGTATGTGCTTGGCCAGAGTGACGGTGACGTGCACGCGGACCGACGAGCATCAGGCGTGGATTGAGTACCTGGTGCTACTGATTATCCAGGCTTGGAGAACCGACGTAGAGGGCGATCTTCTCCATTTTCTTTTCGGATCAGTGTGGTCGGGCCATCGCCAACTAATTGTCCAGGAACTCGTCATCCCGCTCGCACAGCTGGTCGACGACGTCTCTCTCGACGTCGTTTCGCAAAGTGACGAGAGTCCGGCTCCGCACGTCCTTACTCGGACCTTGGCCCCGTATCTTCAGTGGACTGCGTGCTTGGAGGAGCCAGGGAGTGAAAACGCCCTGCCATCGCGGCATGAGTACTTGAAGCTGTCCGGAATCATCAATCTTGCCTTCTATCCGAAGCAAGGTACGTCTGAGGGGGCGGTTGAAGAAGAAGGAGAAGAAGAAGAAGGCGACGCTGAAGAAGAAACGTCGGAGGAGGGGAGTTATTGTGAGCACAGTGAAGGGGAGAAGAGTGTAGAGAGTGAAGAGGAAGAAGATGACGAAGAAGAAGAAGACAACGACGAGGAGAAAGCCTTGCCGAAAGAAGCGGCGCGCACAGGCACAGAGGCGGAAGATCCCGAGGCGGCACGTAAGAGGGAAGAGATCGCCGCCGGGAAAAGCCAGCTGGAGTTCGCCAGCGGGGCGAACCTGCGCATCAACGACGACCCGACCCGGGATCCGAGGCCCCCCAACCCCGAAGATGGCGACCCAACGGCCACGACTCCGAGCGCATCGCGACGGAGACGGAGCCGATCCCCCTCCCCCTCCACCTCAGCCCATCCCCCAGTTCGTCCACGTACCGATGTGGGGGATCGGCATTCGTCCCCGATCATTATCCTGTTGGCCCCTTGATTACCTCAACCTCCATGAGATCTCTACCCTCTTTATCTTCACTCGCAACCCCTTCCCTTGCAATACCTTCCATCACTTCTACTCCACGCGCCTCGCCGTCACCGTCCATCCCCATCCTTCCCTTCAATGTACAACCCCCGCGTTCTGTTTGCATGTCCTTTTGTTTAGTGTCCCGTGGGAGCAGAGCAACTTTGTAGAAGTCTACTGCCTTATCACAGGAACCATTCCCACATGCCGCAATCACGATCTATTTCGCGCGGCGCTCTTCCGCACTTTCTCCACCCTCTACCCTGACTATCTCGCCTCCCTCCCTCACAGTGGCGACCGATTTCCCCGCTTTCACCGGATCATCCGCTACGAGGAGCTTCCAGTGACAGAGGAAGGGATGAACTGCTACTTACCCCCACTTACCCCCAACCCTCCCCATCGACACCCCTCCATGTACAATGTCTACTTTCCCATTCCCACGCGGCGCTGATACCCGCCACGTGTCACGACGGCGGCGCATCCCACCTCCTTCTTGTCAATGTCACTCAATGACTGTTCTGGGAATTAGGTGATTAGGCTTGCCACATTGGATGACGTCCACACTCTTTCTCATGGTAAGTGGCATATGGAAGGCTCTTCGTGGCAATCGTTTGGAGAAATCGGCACGTGTCCCCCGAGCAGCACGAATCAGCAGTTTCGCGAAGATCACGCCATTGACGATGACGTCAACACATGCTCTGATTCGACGGATTGTGCTGGACTAGGAGTGCAGAGCACACGGAGACCTGATGGACCATGATGGTGCCACCTCGACGGTCTCCTAAGATTGAAGGGCAGGGGGTAGCATATGACAGGACTACAGAGGATGGGATCCGACACAGCACGAGCCGACATGCATCATGAAGATCTTGCCACGGATGTTGTCGTTAACTCATACCCCGACTCAGTTTTCTCTGCAGATATAGATCGTGCTGACCTAAGTTTCTCCTCTTCCTGCTCCTTCGTCTCCTCTCACTTCCCTTGTTCGAAGTTCCATGCAATCAGGAGATCGCATAGTTTTGGAACCCCCTGCGCGTCACATATGTGACGAACCACCTCCAGGCCCTGTGCTATCTTTCGTACCCCTTCACTTAATTCTTTCTTTTGTATCATACTGGCCCAACAAAGCCCCCGTCGCTTTCCTTGATTTCAGATGCCTTGTTTGGGCCCCCATTTTTCACGTGTTCTATTGATTCTTGGAATTCTATTTTTTGTAATTCGGGAAATGTGTGGGAAATTGCGTGCGCCTTAGCGAGCGCACTAGGAACCGGGCTCGACAGTTAGGAATTCCGGAATAAGCGGAACCCAACGTGTCCTTTTTGTGCATGAATGTTCTCGGTCACGTCGGAGAAAACTCTAGGAATTTTTTGAGAATACGGACAGACATAGGACTTTCTTTCCCGCGTCGACTTTCACGCGCGGATATGGTGATTTCAATTTTTGAATTGATTTAGGACGTAGGCAAGTTGTAACTGTTTTGGTGCCTTTTTCTCCTACTGTCGGCGCTGCGCATGCGAGCTTCCCCCTCCTTATTTCCCGCGTCGTTCTTCCCCCATGCTCACTTCTCTCTCCCTTCCCCCTCTCTCTCCTCTCCTATCGCAACTGTTTTCCCTCTCTCTGTTCTTTGTGCGCCTGTTTTCCTTTCTTGATCATTTAAATCTTGGACCCATCTTGCGCTACTTCTCGCGCCTATTTCCTTCTCGCTCTTCAACCTTGGCTCACGAAGCCCGGTTGATCCTTCGATTACCCCCGCTCACCAATCAGACGCGTTGAGCAAGAGGACCTTCCTGTTGCGCGACGAATCTGATTGGCTGAACATTGGGTCCCGAAGGATCAACATGGCTTCCCTTCAGCGCCCCCCGCTGAATCTTCTCCTCCTACACCTCGATTTCCCCTCTGCCTTCTCTCTCCTCCGTCTTCCTTCTCGCAAGTATAAATTCCATTAGCGCGCCCGCAAATCTCTTTTGTGTTTTTAACTCCCAAGCCAGCTTTTGGGAAGCAGTGACTAGGTAATGAGTTTGGTGCGAGTCGAAAAGTCCTGACGGGTTGACTGTCGGCTGACCGAATGTGCGCTTCATCGCCAGGACGGATTGTGGGATCCGGGCGAGCCGTGTCGAACTTGAATCAGTGGGGTGACGATCGCAGCGGCAGAAATTAGCACGCGACGGCCGGGATCGTCGGTGCGGGTATGAGGATCAATAGTTGGATTTGGATGGATGATTGGCCCTGGGCCATATTAGAATTTCACGATGAATGCGCCTTCACTATTGCGGATCATTTTCTTTTGGTGTGAGTTCATGGCTGCGACGCCGAGCATTCTCTTTTCAGATCCCAGTGTCTCCTGTCTCGACATTTCTCATTTATCTCTCCCATCTCCCTCTCTCTGATTTGAATGACGATGTGTTATGAGTTTGTCTCTCCTATGAACAGAAGTGAATCCTCCTGATTTCCTGCATAGAAGAACTTCTTCCGGAACTCTTCCATTGGTTTCCTGGCTAATCCCCGGATGTAAAGGAACTCAATCTTCTTGTCTTGTGAACGGTGGATGCGTGTGTACTATCCCCCGATTTTTTTTTGATGCACCATTGTCATTTTCGCACCTTCCACAGTGGATATATGCATGGAATGGAAGATGCTTGTATGTGAATTTTGCTTTGGTTAGACCCGGAGCTCGGCGGGATCTTGTTCGAGAATGCAAGAGTGTTTAGATCTGTTGTTCTGAATGCACTGCACATGCCATCTGCCTTATCGGGCTTTGTAAGCTGCTTCCCTCGTGTCGAAAGGAAGGAAAATGTTAGTTGGTTTTTACGATTGTACCTTTTGATGACATCCCGAGACTTTTGCAAACTCATTTCGATTGATTGACATGTGGACTGACGGGCGCACCTCAAGGGGGCGCCAGCCTCCCGTGTTTCCGACGCCAGCGCACCCCTTCCCTTACAACGAGGAAAGGACACGTGTTTGCGAGTGGGACGTACGAGAAGTTTTTTGCACAGATCAGTGAGCGATATTACTTCCCTCCCGAAAATCGTTGCTCTAGTGGATGCGGGCTTTGTCATTGTCGATACGCTATTCCCGCCTTACTCAGTATTGTTGCCATTTAACGAGCTGATCCTCATTCTGTGGACGGCAGTGGCGCCCCATTGGCCTCGAACCCTGTGCACCGAGTGTCAGCGCTTCGATCGCTACGAACAAAAGGGCTTCCACTACCGTATACGGAGTGAAGATGAGCACAAGGAAAGAGCCACGCGGCCAAGACCCTCCACGTCGGACTTGGAACTGACCAACGAGCAAAGTTGGGACTTGATACGGAACCAGGACACGCGGAGTGTACCGAAGCCCTTTCGCTCCAAACGAAGAGTTGTAGCACGGTGGGAAGTTTGGCAATACTTTTTGGATTGAATTTGCATTTTTCTTTTTTCGCGCGTGCCCGCGTGCTCATTCCGTGACGCGCAAAAGCAACCGACTTACTTCATCGGGCCAACACGGGGGATTTCAGTTCTGTCTGTGTCCGCACACTCAATTTTCCATAAATCCTTGGCACACCCCATCTTGCTGTTTTCCTGGGGCTTCTTTCTGCACCCTTAGCACTTCAAACGGAAGACAGCACAGGGCGTGAGGTTGCGCGTCACATGCCAGGGATTTAAGGGGGTCCAGGGGTCTTACAGTCCGTGTGTGTGTGTGTGTGTGTGTGTGTGTGTGTGTGTGTGTGTGTGTGTGTGTGTGTGTGCGCGCGCGCGTGTGTGAGTGTGTGTGTGTGTGGGTGTGTGTATGTGTCAGTGTGTGTGTGCATGTGTGTGTGTGTCATGGTGTGTATGCATGTGTGTGTGTGTGTGTGAGAGAGAGAGAAGAGACTCAAGAGAGAGAGTTTGGGAGAGAGAGAGAGAGTAAGTAAAAAAATCACCCAACCCCACTCCTATATAGCCCACTGCCCTGCCTTCAAACAACCCCAAACCTTTTTTTTCCATTTTTGATTTTTTAAATAAAAAATATTAAAATTAATTACCAAAAATCAAGCCAAAAATATGGGGATGTGCTATACATCGTTCTGCACACCCCTTTGTTTTTTTTTGTTTTTTTTTTGCAGGTTTTAGGGGCCCATTCTGACTATCCACGCGAGAGTTCAATTCATTGAACTCCATTTTTTAAACGGAGTTCAATTCCATTCAATTTTTAAACGGGATCCTCACGTTCAATGAACGCGCAGTTGCATGGAGATGGCCATAAAAATTTCAAAACGGGCCCTTTTCTTCATACTTTGTGAAGATCCGTACTTCGGGGCATTCTTCGGGACTTGTTCCAAAGTGTATGCTTACATCGTAAAGCTACGAGGTGCGGAGCCTGGGTGATCAGACACTACTGGGTGCATGATTGATTGTTTGGACAGATCCTTTGACACTACTTTCACGGAACCCGGCACAAGATATCTCAGTTCCTACCTCGGACTCCAACCCCTTCCCTAAAATCCTTGGCACACCCCTGTTGTGCACTTCGAGGCCTAGTACCCCTACTCTAATCAGAATCAGAAAATCCTGTTGGGTTTGGGGTTCGCGGTCACATACGGTGGTGATGGCAGGCATTGCCAGCAAGTCCCTCTCCCTAAGGGCAAGTGGGGGAGAGTTCACAACCTGCACCAACCTGTCAAGCTACGTGACACCGTCGGCCAGTGCCTGCCCCGTGAACCTGAGCGGCCGGTCACCGGGGCCAAAATCCGTGAACGGCCGTTCACGGGTCTTCCTGCCACGTGGCCACCCCTACAGTCGGGATCGGGGCGGAAGGGGGGTGGTGCGGGGGCCTTCTACACCCCCATGCCTTTCAATCTT